ATTTTTGCTGTGGACCAGTGTAAAAATTAAACTTGGTCTAATCGATTAAAAGGTGAGTAAATATACAATTTTATAAAACATGCACATATATTCAAAAGTGTATTTTTGATAAGACTTTTTATTTTTAATAAAAGTACTTAGTCAAATATAAAATCTATAACAACGATGCTACTATTTTCTATTAATGTTTGCTCATTTTTTAATTTTACCTATCTATACATAGGTAGGTACTTATTTACCAAAGAAAAATTCGGAAATGTTAACAATCAAAAAACTACTTATTAAATTTAAAAAGGTTTTTTACAAGTTATGTAATTTATTGTCAGAAAATACATCAATTTTGAATCTAGTGGGCGAAAAATATCACAAATTGTATAAAAATGTGGATAAATGTATGTTTACATTTGAAACTAACTTTACCATACATATTAGTACGAGGTGTGTTCAGAAAATATCGGGAATTTTGGTTTTTTGAAACAAATATTTGTTTATTCGTCTACATTAATGTTGTCGCCTTCAAAATAATCCCCATTGGATATTATACACATGTGCCAGCTCTTCTTCCAATACTCGAAACACTTCTAAAACTCGATCTTTGGGATAGCCTTTAGTTATTTCAGCGATGCGCTTTTAATGTCATCTATGCTTGCAAAACGACGGCCCTTTAAGGTTCTCTTTATTTTTGGGAATAAGAAAAAGTCAGACAGAGGCATGTCTGGCGAATATGGAGGCTGGGGCATCATTACAGTATTATTTTTGGCCAAAAATTTTGTTCTAAATTTAACAATTTTAGAACAAATTTTGCTGCCACGCGTTTCATACACAAAACATTCGAAAAAATTTCATGGGATGAGCCAATCGATATACCAACATCATCAGCGACTTCTCTGATGGTTTATAACCATTTCTTCCACTTTTTCCATGTTTTTATCGGTTGTTAATGTGCTTGTGCGTTCGGGGCGTTCGTCATCTTCAACGTCTTCACGGCCATCTTGGAAACTCTTATACCACTTGTAAACTCTTGTTTTACTTATAGCAGACTCACTATAGGCCTTTGTTAACATTTCACAGAATTTATTTCATTTTTTAAGCAAAATTGGATACAAATTCTTGGATCCATTTCTTTTAACGAACGAAAAATCGCCGAGCTCATAAAACACGTCTAACCTTAGCGGCTGCCACAGACAAAGTAAACAATGAAAACAGCTAAAGTTTTTATCATACTTCGGGGGCATGTATACCAACATAATAAAGACAATTTTATGACAACAGGACCCTCCGAACCCGCGAAATTTAACAATTCCCGTTATTTTCTGAACACACCTCGTATACTAGGTGCACCCTGTATATCTAAGGTGAGCTCACGGATAATGATCGGTAGGTAAATGTACATTTACAGGTAACACTCATTAGGAAGTCAAACAAAAGATGTCATCTCTTATGACAAGGACCTTGTTACCAACTAATGGATTTTATATTGTTAATTATATACAAATTAGTTGAGTAATTATTTTTTACTGTATAAATATATATTATGCAAAACGGTCTAAAGTAAACTAATTAGGAATAATTGAATAAAATGGGTTCTAATATTTGTTTTTAATTTAATAATTTTAACATATTCTTGGTAATTATAAAAAAAGCTTTCTATAATTTAAACTTTATTAATGACAACACTCACTACCCACTAAAGTGATTGGTGGTCCAATCAAAATATTCGATAACTGTCAGATCCACCTAACCTTACTTTATACTTTTAATAATGATTATTATAATTTTAGGTTTTATACTAAAAATGCAAAACTGTATAAGTACGTTAATAAAATTGAAAAAGATAAAACATTGTTTTTTAATAATACTTACATTATGTTGTTTTTAAGATTATAACTAATTTATTTCCTATACAAATATAATAATCGATAATTAATTGACTATTATTTCAATTTAATTATAAATTTTAAGTGCTTTGACATAAATACCAGGATAATAATCTTAAAAGTGAAATTAATTAAAAAAAGAATTGATGATATTGGTACTTACGAACTTAATTTAGTCACGAAAATGATTCTATAAAACAACTTGGGAATCTGTATTGATATGATTTCTAATTAAATTTTATTAAGAAATATCCTCGATTGTAGATGTTGACAAAAAAAACAACCTACAATAACAGTTCATGTTGTCGAAGCAATATACAGAATTAATTATAAGCAAATAAATCTGCCAAGTAGTTAAACATTTAAATACTAAATAATGTTTAAAGTATACATCAATTAACTCCACTATTTACCTTTGCAAAGAAGGTACCTTTACCCATAATAGCTTCTTGGAGATCTGGTTGTTTATGTACGTGCCCAAGTGAGCTCCTCTTCTTCGCTGTCTTCTTCAGTTTGGTATTGGAACCAATAGTATTTGATTCGTATATAACTGGTATGAGATCTTTATTTAATGACCAGCAAAAATAAATATCAAATATTTGATCCGGTTGTGCCTCATAAGAAGAAGAAACTTCTCTAAGATAATTTTTAAGTATAGGTATATAATATCGCATAATTATAAAACCTAAATTTCTTAATTTGTTTACAGAAATATTTATATTACTCTTATATACCCCTTAAAGAGTAAGTAGTTTAGTAACACTATAAAACCCAAGTTTTATAACTAGAGAGAACAGGAGTATTATGGAAACCACTATATAACTTCTTCAAATAGTTCTCTCTATTTCTTCATAGGTACGCTATTTTTCTTATTGCCATCTTATTCATGATCTTGTTTAAACCTAGCAAATATTTTGAGAAGAAGTGCAAAGTAATTTTTATTGTAAATATGTACACAATACTTCGAAAAACAGGAGGGGTCATCAAAATACCAAAACATAAATATTTTTAAACTGTTAAAAATATTTTAAATACATGAGTTTTTTACCTTGCTTTGGTTAATTAAGTTGTTTTTGTAATACAATTCGATTAACATATATTTTATGTAAAAAACAATTATTGAATCCTCTTATTTTGCTCATGGCAATTTTATATAACCTAAGGTACTAGTTCAGTTTTATAGGACTATCCAAGTTACTTAAAGTGTTATTATATAATTATGAAACTCTTATAAACTGTCGTTACTACTGATAGGCAACCATCTAACCTCCCAAAACTAGTGTTGTCAGGTTCGCCATTTTATCATTACTTATACGAGGTGTGTTAAGAAAATAACAGGAATTGTTAAATTTCGCGGGTTCGGAAGGTCCAGTTGTCATAAAATTTTCCTTATTATGTTGGTATACATGCCCCCGAAGAATGATAAAAACTTTAGCTGTTTGTATTGTTTACTTAGTCTGTGGCAGCCTCTAATGTTAGACGTGTTTTATGAGCTCAGCGATTTTTCGTTCGTTAAAAGAAATGGATCAAAGAATTTATATCCAATTTTGCTTAAAAAATTAAACAAATTCTGTGAAATGTTAACAAAGGCCTATAGTGAGTTTGCTATAAGTAAAACAAGAGTTTACAAGGGGTATAAGAGTTTCCAAGATAACCGTGAAGACGTTGAAGATGACTAACGCCCTGAACGCATAAGCACATTAACAACCGATAAAAACATGGAAAAAGTGGAAGAAATGGTTATAAACCATCAGAGAAGTCGCTGATGATGTTGGTATATCGATTGGCTCATACCATGAAATTTTTTCGAATGTTTTGGGTATGAAACCCGTGGCAGCAAAATTTGTTCTAAAATTGTTAAATTTTGAACAAAATTTTTGGCCAAAAACAATACTGTAATGATGCCCCACCCTCCATATTCACCAGACATGCCTCTGTCTGACTTTTTCTATTCCCAAAAATAAAGAGAACCTTAAAGGGCCGTCGTTTTGCAAGCATAGAAGACATTAAAAGCGCATCGCTGAAAGAACTAAAGGCTATCCCAAAGATCGAGTTTTAGAAGTGTTTCGAGTATTGGAAGAAGAGCTGGCACATGTGCATAATATCCAATGGGGACTATTTTGAAGGCGACAACATTAATGTAGACGAATAAATAAATATTTGTTTCAAAAAACGAAAATTCCCGATATTTTCTGAACACACCTCGTATATTATATGCCAAATATTTTTTTTCAATCAATTTTTAATTAAAATTATAAAATAATTACTAAACATTTTTGATTTATTAAGCACATAAAAAATTATTAACCACAATTTTTATTTAAAAAAATTAAAGACGCAATAGATTTATAAAACAGGTAATCGCAATCTTTATAAAACTCTTTTATAAACCCACTGGTACCTAACGGTTACTATAGGTTATATAAAATGTTTGTAGAAACAATTATATAACCTAATTAGTAACCTTATATGATTATTATAAAACTAGTAAACTAAATGGCGATTTTATAAAACCCTGTAATACTCTTATATAATATGACAACTCTTATATAACCTTTATATAATTTATCGTTACCATAAGTAGTTTAAATTGTTTATTGGGATAGTAGGTATAATATAAACCATACAATTGTGCTTTTTACAATAAAAAGTTTCCTAAAGTTAAGAAATCTTTTCTGGGACTAAGAATGGGTAATGCATGGCTGATGACGTTGCGTATCAAACTAAAATTTATCATGGATTAGAAATGGTTGGTATTTGCATTAAAAAAAGTAAAAGGCGATCAAAGTAGTTGGTTGGCGCTAACAAATCGAATTTGCGTTAGTTGTCGAAAAAAAAATAAAGAATGACGGAGCCGGAGTGATTAATCAGTTTCTAACGACATGGTACGTACATAAGCGGTAACGCAATCAGGTCGGCCTTTCCTTTAAAATCCAAGCGCAAAAGTTCCTCATCAAAAAGTCGAGTTTCCTTTGAAAGGAACACACCGGTTGCCACGCAACAAATCCTCGCTTCGGGGTAGGAGGCGTGGCCGAGCCGACGCCGACCAATGGCGACGCGGCCTTCGCGCGCAATGCTTGGTGTGTAATGTTTCGTCTAATGTCCCTGTAATGTCAGATATTAGCAGGATAATACATTTCAAATCGTTTAGTGTATCCACAGTCGCTACTGCGAATGTCAGGACATCTGCGATTGCTGTTGACGCGCTGTTGACGAGGACTTTTCGTGTTTATGTGCAAAATGTCTCAGTACTTGGAAAATAGTTCCCACTTGAGTTACCAAATGAAACCTCTTAATATGGACACCAAGATGCAGGAAAACAAAAACTCCTTCTGCATAGACGCTCTTCTGTCGCGCGAAGATCGCGCGACAAGCCCCGAGACTTCGCGAAGTATCTCGCCGACCTCCACCAGAAGCCAGAGTCCTCCTATATCGCCTGGAAGCGAAGAAATTCCGCCGTCTTCTTTCGTACCGAGACCTGGACTTTTGAACAACTTGTACAACAACGAGAGGAATTTTTACAACTACCAGGTGCAGCAGGGATCGGCTTTTCACTTCAACGACGGCATGATGGTCCAAAAGTTCGTCAATCCGGTTAATCTCCACAACCAAGGTCATCTCCACCAGATGCAGCTCGATTGGTTGGCGGCAAGGACTGGAGTTATTTATCCTAGGTTGCCGGATTTAGTAGGTGAGTACCTAAGTTTTTTTTAAAGTGTCAAGCAAATACGATGGTGTCATCAACACAGTAATTACATCTGTTTAAAAGATATGCTTTTAAAGAAGGTTTAAATTCCTTTAAATTTCGGTCTTTAATTGTGTTTGGTAATTCATTATATAGAACCAGAGCAAAGTTTTGTATACTCTTGTAAACAGTGTGGATCCTGGTTTTACTAGAAAAAAAGATTTGGCACTTATTACTCATGAGTAATATGTGCCAAATCTTTTTTCTAGTAAAATATGAATGTTCTCTACTAGTGTTATTAAAAAGAAAAAAAATTTTTTGCAAAAACATAAAGTTTCATATAGGTATATAAATATCTGGTAGCGTAAGTAAGTTTTGTTTTTTAAATGTTTGCTTACAGGACTCATTAAATTCCAAATTAAAAATACATCTTATAATTTTTTTTTGAAAAGTAAACAAATTTTTGGTATGGGATGAATTCCCCCAAAAAATTATTCCATATTTTAAATTTGAATAAATAAAAGCATAATATATATTTAATAGTGCCACTTTTGGAACAGTAAATCTTAAATTAAGGAGTAAGTAAAGATACTTATTGATTTTTTTAAAAACATTATCTGTTTTGCCTACATTTAACTTGAGGCCGTTGTCTTGAAACCACTGGAATATATTTTCCTGTGTTAAAACAATATTAGATATTAAATAATCTATTGCGGAAGATTTAAAAATTGCAGTAGTATCATCTGCATACATAAATATATTATCATGACATTGAGGCAAATCATTTACATATAAGATAAACAAAAGAGGGCCAAGAATTGAACCCTGAGGAACTCCTTTTTTTTAAACCATTTCCGAAAATATTTTCACTATTTGTTTTCGGTTGGTCAGATATGATTCAAACAGCCTTAGCACTGTACCTCTTATGCCATATCTTTCTAATTTTAACATCAATAGTTCTTTATCCATAGTATCAAAGGCTTTAGATAAGTCAAAAAAGGCAGATACTGCCAGGGTCTTGCTATTCCAAAGGTCCATGATTCTATCAATAAAATTGAAAATTGCTAATACCTAGGTATACCTAATTTAAAGTATGAACTTAAGTGGAGAAAGAAATTGAAATAAGGATAATGATTTTTTTTAAATAGATGACCCACTTAATTTGGCTAAAAATAAAATAAGATAAACATACACCTTTTAGATCTATGAATTGCTTGAATTAAATTTAAATTGTTATAATATGGATTGATACATGTTGGTGATAATATTTTGCAATTATAGTTATAAAAAAATCAAAGGATAACATATTTTCTTAAAATAATCATATTTTGAAGATATTTGAATATTTTAAAGTATCAATAATTGTTAAGTTTATTTAAAATAATAACGGGAAATGTCAATGGTCAAAATTTCGTCAAAAATATTTATTGGGTTGGTTATTTTATTCTCGTATAGATGTCGCTACAAATATTTAACTTTTAACTTGCATGAGGATTAGCGGCCGTTGCTGCTAATACATTAATTTCATTATTTCCGCCTGCGACTGTTGCTCGACGAACTCTTTTTTTCGGTTGAACCCTCCCGTTTGTAGTAAACTGCTCGACTGTACGGTGAAATGAAGTACGTGATCGAATTTTATCCGGAAAACGCTGAGCGTAGATATTAACAGCATCATCAAGATTCCTGCCTGCTTCTCCATAAATCAAAATCGTTTCTATTTTTTCTTCCACTGTTAAAAAACCCATTATGATTAACTGCTTAAGAAATGGAGGTCTTTTTGTTTGCAAGTTAATCTTCGAACTAAATTGATTAAATAATGCTAAACTATAAATAATTTCTTTATACCTTAATAATAATTATTATTTATAACTAAATACCATTTTTTATACCTCAAGTAGAATTAAATTAATTAATTGAGAAAATAATGTTTTTTACCTTAAATGAGCTATTTTTATTAAAAATAGTACAATAATCCTTTAAATTAAAGGATTTAATGCTGGCAGGTAAAAAGTGACCATGGTGCGCAATTGATAATTATCACCGAATAAAATGTTTAAAACTTAAACCAAAGGAAACTTAAATATTAGTTAAAAAATCGTGGGTTCTTAAAAAAATCAGATTTAATTTAATAAGATAATTATTAACAAAAAAAGTGATATTTTTATAGAAAAATTATTGCAGAATCGTATACAGAAGAAAAATCGAACAAAATTGATTTTTTATTACAGCGCCATCTATTACAAATATGAAAAAATGTTTTAGACAAAATCTACCTATTTTTAGCCGAATGATCCGAATCTGCTATAAGGAGGAGAGTATTATAGTACTGATTGATTTCCCCCTCAAACTATTTAATTTTTATTTTAAACATTTTTTAGTAAAATGCATACTAACTAAGATATTTCAAAGTTTAAATGACTCACCCTGTATAATATAAAATATATAATATAAAATCTATAGATTTTTACAAAATCAAAGCAGCCAAGGAATTCGAAATTTGGTATATGGAATTAAAATATGATTCTAAACAACTTTTTTATAATATTTTGTCGTATATCCTATATGAAAGGCACTTTACCCACAAAAAAATGTTTTTTTAAATATTTCAAGGCATACTTGATTTTTTAAAATTGAAATTATATTGAAAATTAACCTTTTTTCAAGCAGGGCTAAACCCCCGAAAATAAAAAATTGTTGTTGGCTTTTTAAATTTGTCTTTAAAAATCAGAAGTTTTCCCTTAAAACTCGACTAACAATCGTTTAAACCCGATATAGAAGCAGTTTTTCGCAGTGAAAGTGAAGAGAATGTTTGTGTGGGCACTCAAAAGGTTAGCCCAAACGTGGAAATAAATTTTGTAAATAATGTCGTCAATAAACTATTGAATAATGTTGTATTTTTGTAGTGGGATAGTAAAATAATTTGACGATTGTATAGATTTGACAACTGCCAATTTACTTAAAGCTAACTTCACCTCTGACTTAAAAACCCGTTAGCTGCTAACTTCAGCAGTCACAGCTCTCTCTAAAAATAAATTAGTCAAAAATGACCAATTGTCATAGCGAAAAAGCAGCCAATAATAATTCTCGTCAATAGCAATTTGTATCCCGAATATTTAGCAGTCAATTTCCATGTAAAATTGTTCCCTGAATCCGAGAATGTCGTCAAAAGTTTGAAAAGTAGAACAGTTTTTAAGATATAGTCGATTTTCGATATAATATGGAATTGGCTATATCATAATTTTTGACGGTATAGGTAGGGGTAGAAAAAATAACAAAAAGCCTTTCAAATTGTTTTCAACCAAAATTATTTCTCATAAGCGAAAGACTGGTCAGCTTAGGTTAATCCTACAATAATCCATGTCTAGATACCTTAGTATACTAAATTGTGATGATGTGATAAAACGAATCTGCAGAATTATTTTCCATTTGTAGCGTTGAAATGTTTGTTTAACGACAATAGGAATTTTCAGAAGCTGCAATTAGCAGCAGTGAGAGCAAACTCGGCAACAGCTCCAGCTGCGCCTCTATTTTCCAGACATTAGTCCAATCCGTTTCGTATCAACTGTCTCTTTTGCCGCACAGTAGTTACAAACAAGGAATAGTATCTATTTTGCAAAAATTCTATAAAAAAAATAATTTTATACCTTATATTTAATTTGGTCGAATTATACTTTAGATAGTTGGTATCACAGTCATTGGTTTGACAGTTAATGTCAAAATCGATTCGCCATGCCGTCCTTAATTTACTTATTTACAATAAGCGGCGGTTAATGTTAAAGAAAAAAAAAGGATTTTCTTTGGTGTTAAACAAAATTTTCTGCCAGAAAAGTCTCGTAAGTACTAGAAAAATCATACAAATATTATAACCAATATGCAAAATATTATGCTGTTTAAAGTATACACTGAAAGAAATGCATTGCTCCTTATTACTCAAAAATAGTAATTATTACAAATATTATATGTTAAAATGGCGACAGCGAAAACTTTTGCTACTACAAAATTTATATTTTGCTAGAAGGTGTATGCAGTCTGCACAAATATTTATTTGTAGGTGGAACAATTAAGTTTCCCTGAAATAGTAAGACATATTTGTATTGGTAACAAAAAATAACTTGTGATAGCCAATGCTTATTTGTAGGCAGAGCAAAGAAATTTGTTCGAAGTGGCAGCAGTATTTGTTCTGTGTTGATATCATTATGTGTCTTGGTAGCAAGCATTTACTTATTACAACAAATCAATATTTGTACATAGTGCAATTAAGTTTGCCCGAAATGGTAAAAAGTATTTGTATTGGTAGCCAAAAAGTATTTTTTATAACAAATGCTCATATGTAGGCATAGCAAAGAAATTTGTGTTAGCAGCAGATAATTATATAATATTTGCTGCAGTAGGAAACAAATGGGTAGGGGAGGTTAAAAATAATTTAACACTTTTTACAAATGTAGAAAAATATATTATAATAACTAGGTACATTTAAATTCAACCAAACTACAAATACGATTCGATTTCGTCCAGAGAAGGTCCAATAATTACAGGTGTTGGTTGGAGGAACAGTCCAAATGACTTTAGTTTTTGCACTTTAAAGCAATTGCTTTTCAACACGTCGTTCAATTTACCAGTTATCTAGAATGAAAGACAAAAAAATACTTTAATACACATAAAATTTACTGGATTAAATTCGGTAACTACGGATTAAACATGTGATGTTTGACTACAATTAGGAAGACTTGTTTTTGCAGAAACAGTTTCCTATAAAGTGAAATGGACTCGCAAAAAATGTACATTTCATAAACACTTATACCTAGGTAATAAGATAAAATAAAAGATACCAACCCATACCTTGACTTTAGTTTTTGCACTTTAAAGCAATTGCTTTTCAACACGTCGTTCAATTTACCAGTTATCTAGAACGAAAGACAAAAAAATACTTTAATACACATAAAATTTACTGGATTAAATTCGGTAACTACGGATTAAACATGTGATGTTTGACTACAATTAGGAAG